AGCTGAGGGAGCAGGGAGAGGTCATTAGTGCCCAGGAGACTTTAAGGACATTAGAATTATTCAGTATGGCTTTGTTTTTGTTAATCTATATTTAGAATGCTAAACTATTAAAGCTTGATGATTTTTTTGTAGGTAAAATCTTTCTCTAAAAGAAATTGCTGAGCTAATGATTCTAAATGTATTATATTGCTAGATCCAAAAACTTCAAGTCTAAGTTCATTTTTATTTTCTTTTGAAATTAGTTACTAAATAATTCCACATCTAAATTATATAATCTTGAACAATTTAAAAATAATTTCAAATTTCACCTTTGAAACATTGATTCTATAATGAATACATGATTCCACACAAGATAGAACACAACAGATTAATTCCAATATAGTACTAATGTTACTAATATTAGTTTATAGTACTAAACTATGAACTTTAGTTAATGATAATAGTAGAAATAATTGTAACAAGCATACCACACTAATGCAAGATTTTAGTAAAACTGTGAGAAGCTACAGTATGTGTCTCAGAGAAACAAAGCATAACCACATTTCATTTCAACATTATAGTAAGTAAAACATTAGCTTTGTAACAGGGTGGTCCCCAGGAAAAAGGGAAGTTCCAGGTTCCCTGTCTGAACCAGAAGGAGGGTGGAACTGAGCAGAGAAAAGGAGAGAAGAGAAGGAATCTGAGAAGAAGGAAGCAGGGTGGAGAGCCAGAAGGAGATCTGAAGAAGCCCCATGGAGCAAAGGGAGACATCGAAGAAACCGTGTTTGTTTCTTGGCCCTGGACTGGTTAAAGAGATGTGGGTGAGAGACCCATGGGGAGGTTGTCTACAGCAGTGTTTATATTGATTTTTATTTTGCTCTTTACCTCCCAGACTTGTCTGGCCATTTCTGACCCTTTTATATGGGTCTCAGTCAGAAGGTTCTTCAAGCTTTTGGAGGGCTTTCAGGCCTTGCTTTGGGCCAATCCCTTTTGGGTGGACTTTTGCCCATGAGGGGATAGGTAACTTCAGGTGTTTGATTTAGAAATTATATTCTTTGTCTTCCGTGTTGTATACTCACTGTATTAAAGTTCCTTTTCATTGAAGTCTTATATGTTTTGTCTTGATGTGGCAGATGGCAGAACCTATTTAGAGCAGACAGGTTTGGGGATTCAGGGGTGCCCCTTTCTCTGTGTCCTCTAACAGCCTCCCAAATAGTTCTGTGTCCTGTTCCCTGGGAGCTGGGAGCATGTTAGGCTATACTTTCTGCTCTATTTCCTGTAAGTCTAAAGCTACTCTAAGAAATAAAGTCTATTAATTTTTACAAAGTTGACATAAAATGAGGTAATTTTACTAAAGATAGGCCTTTCCCTGGAGAAAAATATCAATTCTCATGACTGAAAGTTTTACACATTACCTATAAATTTAAAAAAAAAATTGACAGATTATCTCTCCTATAGTATCTCTTGCAGTTGATCTGAAAGTAGTTTTCCTTGTACAAAGTTCCCCTCACTTCCTTCTACATGGTATTTTCCTTCAGAAAACTCCATATAGTGATAAAAGAAACTGATACAGAAAGGGATTAATATAAACACCCTTTTGGGAAAATAAAAGATGAAATAAGAAAGTACCTCTCCCTTTAGGAAGCAATCTTCAGGTAAAGGGAAGGTGATGCCAGGTCAACTCCATTAGGGGGTCAAATCCCTTTCTGCTCATGAAGATGCTACTGTACACTCAGTATAACCCAGGAAGCTAAACTAGAAAACTGTTTATAAACCAAACTGTGTAACTCACTGCTGTAATAAACCACAAACTTGCTGGCTGAAAATAACACAAATGAATGATCTCACAGTTCTGGAGATCAGAAGTCAATATGGGTCTCACTAAGCTAAAATCAAGATGTCAAAAGAGCTAATTCCTTCTACAGACTAGGGGGGATCTGTTTCCTTACAAAGGAGGCAGCTGCCTTCTGTTGGCTTGTGGCCACATCCCTGCTTCAGTTACCAAGTCAGCTGTTTTGGTCTGAGTATCTCCCATGCTACCATCTCTCCATTTCTCCCTTTTCATCCTCCTCTTCCACTTGAAGGTAGTGATTGCATTGGTGCTTCCAGACAGTCTAATTTTAAGATCAGCTGATTAGCAACCTAAATTCCACCTACAATTCTAATTCTCCTTTGCCATTCAGCCTCGCATGCTCAAAGCTTCCAGGGATAGGACAGAAATATTTGGAAGGCTACTGTTTTACTTACCTCAATGCTGAAATAAATGAAATGGGGACATACTCTGTTCCTGCAGGTAAATCAATTAATTTTCTATGATTCAGTGTCAAGTCTCTTGCTGAAAATTTTTCAACTATCACTCTCACATGCAATCTTTGTCAAACATTAGAAAACATGTTCTATGTAATTATTAAAGATGATAGTGGGACTAGAGATTAAATCATTCAATACTTATCACTAGTGTTAACAATGTCAGATGTACTTCAACTTAACTCTATCAAGTTTTCAGTTAAAAATCTCTGGTCTC